ACTCATAAAACAGAAATATCAATTTGAATGAAAGAACATATGCTTGTTTTGAAAAGAAGAAGTCAGAGAGGGTCCCCTCCTTTGTGCGTCCATATCCCTCAGGGGATGAGGTGAAATTTTCTTCAACTAATTTTCCTCTTGGCTGGTGAATATTTGAAAAACAGAAATTTAGCTACCTTTGTCACTATTGAGCTTAGCCTAATTTGTGGTCTGTAAGATGATTCATAAATATTTGTTGAGCTGAAAAGAATCTTTTGTAGCTATTGAGGAATGACTGTAAAAACACTGTAAGGTTTGGGACTGAAAGGTTATTATAAAAATTAAAAGAGTCATATATTTCCCTTTGAGATATTAATGTCTACTTAACTTGAACAGAAAAAGGGCATCCTTTAGGGGAGAAAGTGAGGTAATACAGAAATTATTTTGCCATGAAATGATCCAGAACAATCCAGATTCTGAAGTTAGTGCCAAGTGTAACATATGAAAACTGTTTTATAAAATATGTCAGCTTTCCCAAAATATGAAGTCATTGCATTTGCCACTAAGTGATTGGCTTGCAACATTCACTTTCTGCAACTCTACTAACTTCAGATGAGGGTGGTGTGAGTTTAAGAAATAAATCTTGCTTGTACAGATATAATAGAAGTCTACAAACAGAACATAGCTTAATGACTTAATGGCAACAAGCCTTGTCCTTTGAAATTTAATTTTTAAATATACCTACTTATTCAAAAGTGCTTCATCAGAATAAAAAAGGGGTACTTTCCACTTTACAATTATTTTTGGAAAAAAAATCTAAACTGTTTTTGGTGATCACAGGTACTTTGTAAAATGCTTAAAGAATATATAAGGTCTTAAAAATGAAAAAAATCCTGCTAATCTATTTCTATAAATATTACTATAGTTTTTAACATATAATACCAAAGGATTTGCATATGTAGAGAAATTATAAAAGATGCATTTTTATCAATTTTCAGTGTTTTATAACAATAATACAGTGTGCAATTATGGGATATTAAATAGCTTGGAAAAAACTGCATAAATACCTTAAAGTATATCCACAGAATAGCAATACACAGTTTAGATAATCTTGAAGTCAATTGCAAATGTTTTACTGAATTGAAAGTAAGAATTTAGTGGATAAAAATAATAATATATTGACCATTATGTACTAATAATCTCAGGAAATTAAGTCTCTATGAATATTAGACTGCTCTGAGTGCTTTTCTATGTTTTCTACTCATTAATTTAATTCTTGTCCCATCTCAGTGGAGTGGGATTTCCATTTTACAGGTCAAAAATTGAGAGTTAGAGGTGAAGTAGTTTGTTCTGTAACTTAACGCTAACAAACAGTAGAGCAGCATTAACTTTTTAAGCACAATTAACTTACTGTCAAAGTTTGAGTTAATATATAATTTAATTTTTTAAACTATAAGAGATATAACTTATTAGAATGTAAGCACCAAGAGAACAGAAACTCCTGCCTTTCTCCTTTTAGGCACAAAGTAAACTTACATTTTTTTGAGTGATAAATAAATGAATCATATATCATACTGTCAGCCTTAGCTTTTTCCCAGCAGCCATAGCTGACCACATCCCCTTTCCATTAGTGTTTACATTCCAGTAAGCACAGGCAATTAATAAGTGTATCAGCCAGCTTTTCTGTCACTGCCACTAAACATTCAACATTGCAATTTAAAAGAAAAATTAACTTTGGCTCACAGTTTCAGTGGGTTTAGTCCATGGTCATCAGGCTTCTGGGCTGGAAAGGCACGGTGAAAGGGCATAGTGGAAGAGAGCTGCTCAGGCCATGGCTTCTAGGAAGCTGAGAGAACGGGGAGGAGCCAGGGACAAGAATACACCCTTCCAGGTCAGGCCTCTAGTGACCACATCCAATCAGGCCCCACCTCCCAACAGCACATTTAGCTAGTGAGCTCATCAGTGGATGACTCCAGTGATGAGTATAGGTCCCCCATGATCCAGTCACTTCCTAAAAATGAGACTTTGGGAGCACATTTGAGATCTAAACCATAACAAGAAGTTAAGAAATGGTATGATTTCAGAAATGGTATAAGAATTAAATTAATGGTTGCTAAGCATCAAGTGGGGATAGATCTGGAATCCAAAATGTACCTTCTTACTTCAGGCCTCATTGTTTTTTCAGCTTAAATACACTGCCTATTCCTAAAACCCCAAATAAAGCAATAGGGAGAGGAGATCAGCAAAAGTGTGGTTAGAGATAGAGAGGGGAGAATCATAATTTCTTAGGTGACAGAGAAAGCTAAAGGGAGCGGAGAAGCATTTGGAGCCCATCGTAGTAGAGTATCTGACCTGTTAAGAGAATCAGCCAACTAATGAAAAGCACAGGGAATGATGGTATAAGCTACATGTTTCTTATTATTAGTACAATGTATAGGCAAAGCAAAGACAGTATGTTATCACATGAGGCTTATGGCCTTCAGTCAAAGCTTGAGGATGAATAGAGTGCACACTACAGTTCAGCTACGTACTGAGATGCTTGTCCTTAGTAGGCAAGTAGCAAACATTGGAGAAGCAACACAAAACAACTCCATGTTGCTAGATAAAAGTCACAGTGAAATTTACTTTTTCCCATGGAGCTATTGCAAATACATCTGAACATATGTTTTGGAATCATGTAATTTCCTAGAAATGACCAAGACTTCATTTAGGCACACATTGCAGAACAATAGCTTTCATTTTATCTGTACAAACATCCTCCTGTTACAATGACTGCAATTCATAGTAATAAAAGTATTTTTCCCTGGTGTTGGGGATTGAGGGACGGGCCTTCAGCATGGTAAGCAAGTGTTCTGCCACTGAACTGAGCTACCCTCCAGTCTTTTATTTATTATTTTATTTTGAGAAGGGCCTCCCTAAATGACCTTGGCTAACTTCAAACTTGTGATCCTTCTGCCTCACCCTCCAGAGTCGCTTCATTTACAGGTACAGATCACTATACTTGGCATAAAATTGAACAACAGACATCTAAGCCAGGACATGTAGATATTTTAAAAGCTTTTAGAAAGAAGTTGGAAGAGTCATAATCAAAACAAATGTAACAGTCTTCCCCCAAAGACAAGTATCAGATTGATAAAAAAGCAAAAATGAAATGAGTTATAACCTTCATAGAAAATATAAATTGAAGGCAAAGGAACATGGAAAGTTTGAAAAGGCTGAAAAAAAAGATCAGCAAATCCCAACAAGAAAAAAAAATTGTATAGCTGAACTAATGTCAAACTAAATATTTTAATATTGTTAGAGGATATTGATGTTACTCAAAAGAACTTGACAGCTTTCAAGTAGCCAAATTTTCTTAGGCCATTTAAAAATATATATTTATAATATTTTTGAATGTTGGTACATATTCTAACTTGTCTTTGGCAAATGATAATAATTTTCGTCTAGTTTGCTACAGATGCTTATGTACTTTATGTTTTATTTTATCTGAACCTATGTTTAAATTCTGGATTTAAATATGTTATCTAGACAGAATAAATTTAGTATTATTATTTGATTGTCGGTAACAAGACGAACACATTCTTATGATACAAATGAAATCATTTCTGTTGACTTAATTTCAGTGGATGTATGACTTTTATTCACTAGTGAGGAAGTAATTTTACAAGAATGAAATATCAGGCATAATCCTCTACGTTTTTCTTTATGGTCACGTAATAGGCAGTTGATTACTCAGATGCTTATGTACTTTATGTTTTATTTTATCTGAACCTATGTTTAAATTCTGGATTTAAATATGTTATCTAGACAGAATAAATTTAGTATTATTATTTGATTGTCGGTAACAAGACGAACACATTCTTATGATACAAATGAAATCATTTCTGTTGACTTAATTTCAGTGGATGTATGACCTTTTATTCACTAGTGAGGAAGTAATTTTACAAGAATGAAATATCAGGCATAATCCTCTACTTTTTTCTTTATGGTCACCTAATAGGCTGAGTTAATTACCGTACATGGGTCAGCTAATTCACTCTGCCCTAACAAAATGGACAGGGCATAGATTGTGTCAGGTACTAGGGAGGGAGAGAGGCTCTATGGTGGCAGATGAACTAAGGACTTCCTTTAGGTGTATGCCTATCCTGCTCCTTCCAACATTTTTGCTCCTGTATTGACTGTTACTTTTATGAAGTTAAATCAGTACCATAACATCTAACTTCATTTGTTGGCTCTATTCTGTGCTGTTGATGTTACATAATAGACTGTTAAAAAGTTCTGTTCTGTAAGATAGGTTGACTTCTGCGTTAGGTAATAAATGCAGAAAATACATTAGAAAGATTTAAACTGTTAAATGATTTTGGTGTTTTCTTATATGTTAATTGGTCTCTTTGTGGTGAATTCTGGTAGAATCCCATTTATTTCCTCTGAATCCAGTAATTTTTCTTAACATATTCCATCTGATGTATATTGAGCAGTGTGATATACAGCAGCTCTTCTGTACACCAGTGGCCATCCACAGGATGGAACAGTTTTCATGAAGCTATTATGATGGTAATGAGATACCTAAAGAGCTCCGAGCAATCAAGTGAGACACTACATTTAAGCCTACTGTTAGACTGCAATACAAGGATAACCTGGCTTACTGTGCTCTAAATGGGCCTATCTTTTTCTCTTTTGGTCGCAAGTTTATTCCTTTCTTAAAAATCAAGATGACAATAATTGAGGTCCCTCATTCATTCACATGTTTACTATGAATTGAGAGAAAGAAAATGCGATTATTTTTCACTTGGTAAACTGGAATGAGGATGAGGGTGGAGGGATTGTAATAGGTAATGAAGGCTGAAGTGTTTGACAATCGTTGCTATAGATTAAGATATTTGTTGCTCTAATTGCTCACCTTATCACCACATTCTCCAACCATGAAGCAAGCTTCTCACATATATGTATGCATGTGTGCTTGTGTTCAAGAAATGCTAAACCTGTAAGATTGCCTGAAAATTTGTTTTATCTCTTTACAGTTACTCTCAATGGCTCACTGACTGAAGAGGAGCTTCTTTTTGTTGTTGATCCCCACCCCACGTATTGGTCACACACAGGGAATCAAGGAATGGGAACTTAGTGCTGCTACACCAGCTCTCATGGAATTAGCTCGACTTCCTGATTATATCATAGTCATGGCCTTTTTCAAATTGAGGTTAGTCTCATATTTTTTCCCTCTATCTTTGGCTACTTGCTTTTATATAAAATCAGGCTTTTTTTTTGAGAAATATTTTACCTAAGTCTTTCTGTGCTCTCAAATTCTCCTAATGTTTGATGACCTTCACAGTTTTTAGGAATGCTAACCAAGTATTTTGTAGGGTGTTGGAATTTGTCTGTTTTTCTTATGATTAGATTGGGGCCATGTTTTGGTGAAGGAGGATCACAATATAAAGTGCTGTTTTCATCACACTATTTCAAGGAGATAGTGCTTGTCTGGTTTCTCCTGTATCTCCTTTTTTAGCCCTTGTAGTCTTTGGAAGGAAGTCACTATATGCAGGCCACACCTGAGTGGGGATTGGTACATCTGCTCTTGATGATAGAGTATCTGTATAACTGTTTGATTATTTTGTATAGACTCATGGCTATTTATTTTGTGCTTTATGGCATAATCTGGTACTACTCTGTACAGTTTCTCTATCTAATTGTTCCAGTTTTGGTCATCAGGAGCTTTTCCTCTTTGCTCCTGATGCCCTTTGACATGATACAACCACACATGATTTTTTTGTTTTTGCTTTTGTTTTTAATAGCATTTGTGGCATTAGGGGGTATTCCAGGATCATTGCAGGTTTCCTGCTTCAGTCTTACAATCAGCCTGTTATTCTATAGATTCCTGGCTCTTTTTAATGGAAAATGCTATTAAAAACAAAGATCTGGGTGCTAAGTGTTCTTGTTGCTACTTGAATTTTGTATTTAGTACCTCTCAGCTTAAAGAGCAAGGAAATCATGTAGACATACTAACCTATACAATCACAGATATCTGCAAATGTTTCCATATGTAGTCATTTGCATTTATATTAAACTAAACATGTATTTATATTGAGTGAATTCACCAACTCAAATCCATCACCACATGTATTTTCTACCTGATTCCCTTTGCTTATCTGTAAGTTCCCACACCGAAGTGAAAAACCTGGCCTCCACCATCAGCCATATATTGACTTTATTCAATTCCACGTTCGTGTGGCAGTATCAGAATTATTAACCCCTTTACCTGTGGGAAGCAACTTTATTGACAGAACTACAGTGCTTATGTACTGTTACTGTTGTCTTTAGTGTTTTATACTTTGCTCATTTCCAAAGATACTTAGGTCAGCACCTCTTCTCCCCACCTCTTTACTGAGATTGTTTTGTATATTTGCAAGGCAGTTAGATTCCCTTGTCAGAGTCTCTGTTCCTTCTTGGGATTCCCTGGCTTCACTAGACTTAAAAACATTTTGCAGTCATTCATTTTTCACCCTTTGGATGTAAAGTTCTATTGATTTTGACAAGAGCATAATATCATATATTCACTCACCATTAAGATATTATACTAATGGTTTCAGCACTCTGCACATTTCTGTACTTCATCTTTCATCTTTCTCCTTTCCTTAGATTTCCAGAAGCCACTGATAGCTTTTGCTGTCTCTGGAGTCTTATCTTTTTTAGAATGGAATCCGTCAGTCTGTAGTTCTTTTCAAACCGACGTTTGGTACTTACCAGTATGTATGCAAGGTTCCTTCATATCTTTTCTTGGTTTAATCTCTCATTTCGTTTTTTCATTGAGTAACTTTCCATGTATGGATGTTCAAGAGTTCATCTGTTCATTTGTTGGAGGGCATCTTTTGCTAAAAGTTTTTTGGTGATGAGGAATAAAATTGCTATAAACATTTATGTGAAGATTTTTATGTAGACATACATTTTAAAATTTGTTAAATGCCTAGGAGAGAATATTGCTAGATCAATGATAAGACTATGCTCAACTTTGTGAGAAAATTCCCAACTGTTTTCCAGAGTGCTTGTACTATCTTACATCCACCTACCATGATGTATCTTATATACAACCCAAAATGCAACTACCCCTTCCCCCAGAGTCTCAACAATTCCAGCATTTTTCAAAAGTCCAGGTTCACAGTCTCTTCTGAGACCCAACATATACTTTGAGCTGTGAAACTGTAAAAAACAAAACAAAACAAAACAAAAGCCACATTACATAATCCCAAGGAACAAAGGCACAGGGGAAACATTCCCATTTTAAAGAGAAGATAAGGGAGATAGAAAAGAATCTGACCAGTAATACTGAAAACCAGCAAGGCAAATATTAAATCCTGGAGCTCCAGGTCCAGGGCACATGGTGGTGGGACATGAGTTGCAGAGGGCATGGCTGGCCCAACCCCTGTGGCCTTTCTGGTTGTAGCCCACATGGCCTCTCTTGGCTGTCTCCAGTCCTGGCCTGCAGCTCTCCTTGGCATCTGCTCCATGTTCCTGGCATGTCCAACTTCCCGGGGTCTCCACTGTAAATCTGGATTCATTTCCCAGCTTCACACACTGTTGTCTTAAGGGCACCTTGTATGACCTCTGAGGCCTTCACTGGGTGGAAGCCTCCCCAGTCCCACAGCTCTGGTATTCTGTATGCTGGTGAATCCAGCATCACGTGCACAATTCCAAGGTCTGCCACTTGTGCAGGCAGTAGCTAGGCTACAGCAGCCTTTGAGAGCCTGGATGGCTGAGCATGGTGAGTCTCTGGGAACCAACTCCCAAAGAGGCCCTTCTCCAGCAGGGGGCCCATGAACTGTGTTCTCAAATGAAAGGTTTGCGCTTTTGAAAATAAATCTCTTTATCAGAGATATTTTTGCAAACATTTTTCCAAACTGTTAACTATCTTTTCATTGTGTAAAATAGTGTTTATTACAGAATAGAAGTTTTCAGTTTTAACAGAGTCCAACTTACGTTTTTCTTTCATTGATTGTGCTTTTAGTATTGCATCTAAAAACCCATCACTGGACCTAAGCTTACTTATATTTCCTCCTATTATCTTCTATAAGTTCATAGTTTTATTTATATCTATGGTTAATTTTGAAATAATCTTGTGAAATTTTCTTTTTTGTTTTGTTTTGTTTTTTTGCCTATGGATGCCTAATTGTTTTGGTACTACTGCTTGAAAAAATAACTTTTCTCCACTGATTAATTTGACTTCTTTGTTTAAGATTAGTTGTTTATCTTAAATGGAATATGTGTGTGTCTGTCTCTTGGTTCTCTATTCTGTTTCTTCGGCCTGTGTGTCAAGTCTGTACTGCTTTGATTGCTACAACTTTACAGGGAGTCTTGTAGCCAGGTAAAGTACATCTTTCAACTTTGTTCTCTGGTATTGTATTGCTCTGGCTGTTCTGTATATTTTAGCTTTTCAGATAAACTTTAAAATCTTTTTTAATGTCCATACAAACAGATTTCAGGTATTGTATTGACTCTATAGTTAGAAGTGAGAAAAACTGACATTTTAGTAGATTTTCTAATTCATGAAAATGTAATATACATAGTCCTTTTTTCCATTGGAACTCTTGAGATATGATCATAGTTTTATATTTCTTATCTGATAATTCTGAAATCTGTCATATCTGAGCCTGGTTCTGATGCTTGCTTTGTGCCAAAGTCTTCACATACCTGAAGTACTTTTTTTCCTCTGTTGCCTGTGGGTTTATATTAGAAGTCCTTGTTAAATAAAATCACAGTCTTCAAGGAACCAAGGAGCTGAGCTGTGTGGGCTGCCAGCAGCACCACCCCAGGCCGCTGCTGCACCTACCCCAGGCTGTGCCAGTACCTGGGTCCACACTGAAGAGGTGCTGGGGTCAGAAAGGCCATTGTTATGAGCTCCAGAAGATAGAGAAGAAGTGAAAAACAGAGAGAGGGCCTCTCTGAGGCTCCTTGATGAAAATTGCAGCCCACTGGGAAAACACGCCAGACCACCATAGTTGGTAGTTGGAGTGATCACCACCTCCATTCAGAACCTGGACTATCTTCAGGGGAAGGGCAGCTGGAGCCTGAAGTAGAACCTTTCAGAGTTCAATCCAGCAGGAGGTCAGGGAGCTCATCTGGGCCTTGCAGCCAGAAATCAGCCTGACTCTCAGTGGATTGCTGCTGGCTTCCTGAGTCTAATGGACTTAGATCAGCACACTGCTGTCTACCTTGTCTATTGTGACAGCAAAGATATACCCAAAGGAGACCCTTTATTGTTATATTTTATGTTTTTCAAAGTTAGTTTTTCTCTTATTTTTAATTTTTATATTTTTCAAATTTATTTTTTCATTTTTTATTCTTTTTATTTTTTCCTCCCCCATCTTACCTTATTCTTCATCTCTATCCCATTTGTTACTGTTTCTATCCTAATTTGGATTTCTTTTTTCTTATTTTTTTCTTCTCTCTTTTTCCTTCTCTTAATTGTCATTAGTTTTATAGGAAAGTGAATACAATTTCTAGCTTCCCTATTGCTGTTAGTTTGTTCTGTTCTTGGCTTTGCTCTATCATTGTCTTTTCCTCTTGTCTTCAGCAGTTTTCCGAAATTTTCCTGATCTTCCTGTGTTATCTGGCTTCACTTCTAACCATTCCCTATCCTTCTACCTATCTATCCCTCCCTCCCAAACTCCTTTTAAATCCTCATTCCAAAGGGTAAAGTTGTTACATTGAAGAATTTATTCACTATAAACATATTTTTGGCTAATCCTCGATTTTGATTTAATTTACATGGTTAAAGGTGATAGATTAATAGCTACCACAAATTGTCATTTTTTTTTTTTTGGTGCCAGGGATCAAACTCTGGTCCTTGCGCTTGTGAGGGAGGTGGTGGCACCCCTGAGCTAAATCCCCGGCCCTTGAACTGTCTGTCATTTTTCTAAGCTGTGCTTGATGCTGTTTTTGCTGATTGTATCATTTGGGCTAATGTGTTGTGATTGATCTAATCAATTTCCTTTCTGGTATACTGAAAATGACATTGTCTAAGAGTTATTAGAGACTCAAAACCTAAAAACCAGCTATATCTAGAAGACACCTCTGAGAAGCAGTCATTTCATAAGGGTTCTAAATAGAACAACAAAGATACTTACATTAGGCAATATTGAAGTATCAACCTGGAATTAAACCAAAAACAGGACCACCAACAAAAATAGAAATGAGAAGACCCCTAAG